TTTTTTTAAATTTTATTTTGCTTATTCGATGCCTTTATTGTTGAAACATTTATATGTATACATTTTTTTCTCTTGTTTTCAATTATACATATGTATAAATATTAACAATTATCATTTTGTTATCACATTTTATCATCCATTTTGAGTTTAGTCAAATCCGATAAAATATTATATTTGATCTTTTGACCTTTTGACATCACCATTTTATCCCATTTATTTATTTTTATTCTTAGATAAATTTTGAATTCTTTCATGAGATAAATAAAACTAAATTAGCAGCGCGAACAGACCAAGTTTTTGACAGTTTCATGAAGTATATGAATATATGACATTACTGCCATGTCATACAGTTGTAATTAATTTACTTGGCCTTTGACCTTTTACATCCACGAGCCTATTTATTGTAATATCATCTTGATAAGAACAGTATTATACTGCATAAAGTTGTTTAATTTTAAATTTAATTTATAAGAAAAAAAATAAATTTAATTTTTTTCTTAGTTTTAACTTTTTTTTATTAAATTTTAAATTTGTCATTCTGTTTTTCTCAAACCGACAACTTTTGTGAGGTAATTTAACTGGATCGATGATAATATAACTCATTTATTTCTAAGCATTTTATTGTCATAAAATAGCCGATATCGCTTATATGTTTGGAAAATGAAAAATATAAATTAACTTTTTGTTATGATACCGAGAGTAATTTGAAATCCAGCAGCGTAACATTAAGTAAGAAGGGTTAAGATACAACCCTAGGCCATGACCTTGTGCAAAAATAGACAAAATAAACCCCAATGAAGTTGGCCCGCTAAAGGATTGTCAATTGAACCATTAATTTGCAAGGAAATTTCTGGAAGTCTTACTTACTTTTGTTATAAATAGTTTGAAGCGGAAATTTTGGATTATAGAAAATAATTTTTCATGTATTATTTATCATTTGAATTCAATAAATTGCTTAGATTCAACTCCTATGATGAATGTTATTTAAGTGAAAACAGTTCTTCATTTTGTTACTTATCACTTAAATCAAATCCGACCTGAAATTTCAAATGATATCATTTTTGATTTCCATTTAAGTAAATCAACTTTTCCACATCTTTTTTGTCATCATTCATCAGTTGCTTCTAACTTTTTTCTTCTCCAACATTCTTATGATTATTGAAAGTCAAGGATCGTTTGAAACCAACAATCAGAGTTGAATAAGGAATATGAGAATATGATGCAAATCGTGATAACTATGATAACACCATAATGATGGAGGCCAAGATAACGTCATAGTAATGCGCGTTATGATAACGTTATAGTAATGCAGAATATGATAACATTACAGTAATGCAGGGTATGATAACATTATAGTAATGCAAGTGATGATAACAGTAAGGCAAGATATGACAAGATTGTAGTAATACAGGATATGATAGTGTTGCAGTAATGCAGGGTATGACAACATTACAGCAATGCAGGATATGATAACATTATAGTAATGCAGGATATGATAACATTACAGTAATGCAGGATATGATAACATTATAGTAATGCACGATATGATAACATTTAGTGATCCAGGATATGATAACATTA